ATACCATTACATTTAGCAGCAGGGCATTTTTGTTTAAAAAAGGTGTAGCATTAAATGCATTTTAGAAATGAATGAAATTAAAGTAATTTTATTATTTGAAGCCTGAATTTTAGTGTATATGACTAATTAACAAAATCAAACATATCAGACATCTGTAGTCTGCTTTACTGGTGGAGAACTCTGAGCTAGTTTTTTTTAAAATTCTGGTTATACCATTTTAAATTCTAAGTAACTCCACAACAGTCAGTGAGGTTATTCTGGTTTTCAGTGATGGAACTGAGATCAGAATTTGTTTTTCCATTCTTGAGTGATACTTTAACCGACCAGATCCTTTTCTTGCATAGGAGTAATTGTCTCCTTTTTATACAATTGGCAGAGTGCTTGGTTTAGCAAGCTATATAGATGGTATGGAAACGTTTTGAAAAATGGCTTGTATACTTCTGGTGGCGGTGTTTTTCTTCAGTAGCACAATATCCTCCATTTCCAAGTAAAAACAAACATTGCAACTGATTTTTTTCCATTATTTTTCAATGTATATCAGTTAAACATCTTCAAGGAAATCCACTGAAGTCAACAGGCAAGCTCTTACTGAATTCTGTGAAGGAAGTTTCTCTTCATCATAAGAACGGTAAGTACAGTAAAGTCACCTTAGCCAATAGAAAAAAAATACACCTAGAAAAGATCTTTGTGATTCCTCTCCTCTCCTGAGATGGTGGTTCTGTTTAAGCTAAGCAGCAACTGTCTATATTGAAATGAAATAATATGATAGCTCTTCTAAAATGTAATCTGACATTTTACAACAACATATTCCACTTCAGGCTTTTTCTGACCTGTATATTTTATCTTATACAATTGAAACAAAACACTTAAAATATTGTGCCATATTTATACAACTAAAATTATTTAAACTAATAATAATGTTTCTTACAAAGTACATACATTCACACACAGAAACATCACAGTTTCCTAAATTGTAATATTCATTGTATCATTATCATATTCTGCTTCTCTGGTCTCCATTTGTAGTTCTACTTAAAGCACACACCCTTTTGTCATAATCCATATTAGAGACACACACAAGCCATACTGTATTGTATGAAAACATGTTATATGGTCTGTTCATTCCATACACATGTATTGGACAGATATGGGTCTAAGTGTCTTTACAGAGTCAATCATGCAGTACTTCTTATATCAGAAAAAAAGGGAGATTTATATTAAAGACACTTGAGATTTCATGGTAACATAACAGCTAACTTCAACAGTATAGTGCTGGATTTTCCAGTGATTCAGAAGGTGTGCTTGTCATAATTTAAAGAGCGCTAATCTTAGGAGACCTCATTGCTGTTGAGCAACACAAGGACTGGAGCCATGTTAATTTTGAATTAAGATGATTGAACACTGAACACTTCTTCCCTAGTATCTACCAAACCTATGGCATGCCCAGCTACAGAAGTGCTAGATGCCCTCAACCCATGTGGGCCAAGTCTTGAGATGTTTAGTCAGTTATGTAAGCAGTTAGACTCTTCTGTCCTCTCTGCAAATTTGCTTGAAGAAGCACAGAGTGAAAACTGGAGATTTATGTACACTGTAGGAGATGAGCACATATTGAACCTCTCAGGAGGTGCTCACCTTCTCAAAGGATTAATTTTTTGTCACACAAGGTGATTTTTTTTAAAGGCTACTTTTCTGAAAACTTTATTATATGAAAATGTCAGAAGCTAATCTTTTATATTTGTTTCATATTTGGGGGCTGTTAGCCTCCTAAAAATGTCAGCACAAAATTTCTAAACACACCCATAAAAAAACTCTCTCCTATATTTGAGGAAATATACTTTTGCAATACGATGGTCCATAGGACCATTTTGTGAATGTTGAGACCTGTTTTTCCACCTAAATTTTGCAGGTGCAACAGCTGCAGGCTCATGATTAGACAATATAGATCCCTTAGCATCATATGTGTGGATGCAGTCAGGTCTTTAAATATTAAATGATCCATTTGCTTTTAGTAGTATGGGTGCAGAAACAGAAGTGTGAGGCAGACCTGTAAAATTCATTGAAGAACACTGCAATGCTTTAGAATGTTATGGAGAAGTTGTTGAAGGACAATTTTCATACAGTGTAAAACATCACACATTTTTAGCTGTCTAAATTTACATGACTAAAAGTCATGCTCATCATCAGTATTATCTACCATTTCCTGACTTTAAAGTCAGACTAGGACATAATACAAATGGTTGTTTCTGGCCCCAAATCTGGATTAGTTGATGATACAGTGCATGCTGAAAACTACATCAGGGATAGAGTTAAGTTTTGCTGGAATGTAAATGCTGCAAAAATTTTGGAAGCTGCTGTTAGCACACAATGATGGGAAAAGCTTGCCAGTTATCCCACAGCATCCACTTTTATTTTGAATTAAACTCTCTTGATATCTTGGATCATAACCTTGCAAGAACAAACTGCTCATCTGGGACAGTGGCCATATTTTAACTTGAACTGAAATGAATAGCATTTATGGCTTGTCATGGGCAACTGGTGCCTTATGATTCTGGGAGGGCACAAGCCGCTGATCACCGATCGGGGGTAAGTGGTGTCCCTCAGCAGCTGATCGCTGACTGGGGGGAGGGGGAATGTCCCCCAGTGGCCAATCGTTGATCCCAGAACCACCAGCAGTGAAACTGGAAGTGCCAGTGACACTTCCACCAACACTTCTGGTTTTGCCACCGGCGCTTCTCTTAGCACAAAGGGGGCACATTGGCATTTCTCTTGCTGCAGGGGGGGCCCATTGGTGCTTCTCCCGGTGCCCTCACTTCCAGGAGCCAATTTGGGGGGGGAAGGGGGGCACGTGCTCCCCCCACTGTGCTTCCTGTATGCATCACCAATGCTCAAGCCACTTCTAAAAAGAGCAGGTTTGTATCTGGAGAAAGAGGATTTGCACTATCTTGCTTCTGCAAGAAAATGGGTAATTGACCATGAGTTTCACTTGTCTGAATTTATTTATACATACAAATTATTCAGTGACAAAGTTAATGCCACATAATCCCTATGAAATAATACCTATTTCTTCTGTTAAGGCATTTTTAAATACTGTCATACTGAAGAGAGATCTCTTCAGCAGAATCACATAAATTCACATTTAATGAAGATCTTTTATACAGATTATGTTAAGTGATCTTCATTTTGAAGCCAGTAGTCCTCTTAAGAGAGAAGAGAACTGTAGGGGAAATAAGGCTCAGTTTTCTCATCCAAAGTGGGATTAATTTATATGCAGGAGTGAGCACAAAATCTATACCCCAGTTAAAATTGACTCAAACCCTAAAAGCTAGAGCTTAAGCAGGACTTAAGCATGGTATAGATCACTCTCTGAACAGGACTGAACTTCATATTGAAT